ACGGTCAAAATGACTGCCTTGACAGTTCTAGTGTTAACAGTTTGTGTCCATATCCATATATCAATTTTAAAAAAGTTCTTAAAGAAATCTGAAAAACAGTCAAGTAACAGTATCAAAAAGGACAAAAGGTCCAGTAAACATCTGTAATATCATTGTGATATTTCCTGCTTTTATACCATAACATTTATTCTGTAGGAATAAAAACAAAAGCGGGTTTGATCCAAAGCGAATTACAAATGAGGACAATGGAAGCAATCAAAATCAACAAAAGAGCAATAATATGCAAGTGCTATAACAAGTCTCAGTTAGCTTAACGCAGTACACACAACAAGGCTTTTTAAATAATATAATAAATTAAAAAATGAAAAAATAAACAGATAGAATACAAAAATATTAGAGAAGCTAGTATTAGTTTCTTTCTTTTTTTATAAAGAAAACAAGCTGTTAGTAAATAGAGTGCAAGTCTAAAGGGGGAAGTTTTTTTTTTTTTTAAAGAATAGAATTAGAATAGACAGTGCTAGAGTTAAGAGGGTCAAATAAAGATGGAAGATATGTGTTTTTAGCCGATTATTGAAGATGGTTAAGGACTCAGCTGCTGGGATTGAATTCCACCAGGAGGGAACAGTTAATGAAAAAGTCTGTGAAAGAGATTTTGTGCTTCTTTGGGATGGCACAATAAAGCAACGTTCATCTGCAGAATGCAAGCTTCTAGAGGGCACATAACTCTCAAGTAATGAATTTAGGTAAAGAGGTGCAGAGCCAGTGGTGGTCTTGTAGGCAAACATTAATGCCTTGAATTTAATGCAAGCAGATATTGGTACCCAGTGCAAATTAATAAACAGAGGTGTGACGTGCGTTCTTTTTGGCTCATTAAAAATTGGATTAATTGTAAAGGTTTGATAGACGTGGCTGGAAGACCTAAGAGAGCATTGCAATATTCCAGCCAGGACAGAACAAGAGCTTGAGCAAGGAGTTGTGAAGCATGTTCCAAAAGAAAGGGCCTGATCTTCTTGATGTTGAATAAAGCAAATCTGCAGGACT